CAAATTACCATTCTAAGAAAAAAGAAGGGATCAATGGAAATACATGTGGATCAATGCATATTTTCAGTGAAAAAGAATGCACAGTGTTCAATGTTCATCTGTTGTTAGGTCAGAGGTCATATGCTTATGATATCTCGAAATCTAAATTACACAGCAAAATGAAACTTGCCTACTGAAAAATGGATTAAGATCAACTGGGTTATTCATAGGTGCTCAATGAAGCATTAAATTGCAGGTGCTTGTCAGCAATCAATTTTTTACTGTTTATTTCTGAATTATAGTGTTGATTGTAACTTATCATGATTAAATCTATAGATCATTGAAACAGACTTGTTTATGGAGACCCTACCTTATCAGTTTTTCCTTTGGGTATTCGCATGCTTTGAATGATAGTTTCTTCAGAATGGGGACTTTTGTCTTAAATTTCTAGTGAATTTCATTCAGCATATATTTGGTACAATCTTAACTTCCGTTATTAAATTTCCATTATTTCCTTCTACAGGTGCTGGAGGTACACCCAAACCAATTGAATTGTTGTCTCATAACCCGCTGAGGTAGGTTGTTTGGTGCTTATATTCTGTTTACTGTCGGCATTATTTCACATGCATAAACAGTGAAGATTGGTAAATACTTTGCAGTTTAATATTGTAAATTATCAAATCATGAAGCAGTTTTTTTATACAGAATTTTATTTTTTTTACCGAAAAATTAGTTTCTTCTTTTATAATTGATCGGTATTTAGATCTCTCTTCATTTCCTCATATTTCAATGAATTATGATTTTTAGTAATTCAGATATGTCGGTGATATGCTTGCATGGATTCATCAGGCAATGGCTACCGAAAGAGAACTTTTACAAGCACTGCTAAAATTATGTCGTCCAGATGGTATCAATTTTTTCTTGCGAAGGTTTAATTTAGAAAATGGAAGTAGGAATATTTTATTATTAACAATGGTTTACAAAAGATATGAAAAAACTTTCAACCAAGAATTGCAGACTTCGCAGCTATTATATATCTTTTTCAATGGTAGTGGGTAGAACTGCAATGTGGCTTTTAGCTTTGTAAGTCCGTTTGTTGTCTTTCCCAGCGCAAAAGAAACATCTCATTGAATCAGATAACATTGCTCATGAGGGACCTAAGATTCTAGCTTTTATTCAAAATATTTTTAAAATTTTTCAGTTTTGAAAGAGAACAGCATTGGTATGCAAAGTCAAATTTCTGAAGCACTTTGTCGCCCGTTTAAAGTACGATACAGCTAATTTTGTTCAACAGCTAATCTTGTACATTTCGCTTTACGTTTCGAATGGCAGGAACTTTTTTGTCAGTCATCTTGAACCTGTAACTAGTCATTTTGGAATGGAAAAATTGCATAATATCTGCAGTTGCTTTCAAGTGTTTATAATCAGGTTCGTGTCGAACAGGCTCTCACAACTGAAACGAATTGTATTGTGCTTTATCGATTGTCTTGTCTTTTCGCTTTCTATCTCGAAACAATGGCGTAAGTAATTTCTGAGTCTTTTTGAAGTTTCCATTTCATCTTAGATATATTTACCATTGTAATGTAGCATTGTCTACACTACCTTCTAGATGTTTTGAATTAAATGTTTCGGGACTACATCATTACAATGTAAACTGAAGTTTGTGGATCAGTGAGGTCCTTGTCAAAATGAAACAGATACAACTGAATGAAAATCATTTTTATGACGATTTCTACTCTCAGTTTTAGCGTTTGAGTCTCGAGCTGTTGCTTTTGTCGTCAATTGAATCAGAACTCAGCTGAAATTAGGAGGAAATATGTTTTATTTTTTGCAGCTCTTCCTTGAACTTGGATTCGATGTTAATTCAGACATTCAAAGAGTTGAAAGAATTGACGTTAAATTTGTTTTTCAGTGGATTACATTCCCTAGTTCAGAAGCTCGTTGGAAAGGTTGAGTTAATTCCTTTATAATGTTTCACTATAGGCAATTCTATCAGTAATTCTATCAATAAAAATCTTGAATAAGTGGATGGATCCACTTTTGATTACTTCCAGACGTAATTTTAATACTCCGAAAATGTTGGAAAAACATTACGGATTATTGAATGCTTTGGTGCTTTTAGTAGTTGGGTGAAACATAAAATACTTTGTCAAAGAATTACTGCTCATTTATCCAGGACTGAATCAGAATTAATGCTGATGTCTTAATTGGATTAAATTTAGAGAATCAGTGCGTTTTTTCCAATTTTTTGATGCAACTATGCTAAAACTTTTTTTTAAAGATAGGTACGCCTGATTATGATTTGCTTCCTGTATCCGCTGTCCACCAGATACTGGTGCTACTCAAAGATGTTCTGGAATCACATGATGGTGCCGTTGTTGCTGTGGCTGATAAGAAAGAAAATTTTGAAAAGGTAGGTAGACCCTTGAACTACCATATGCCTTAAGTAATGGACTTACTATTCCATAAAGTTGTTGCAGTATTCTATAATACTTTAAATAGAAACTTTTCTATGATGACCTAGTAGAAACGAGTTTTTTAGAATTCGGGAACTAATCAAAATATCACATTCTACATCAAGTCTTCATAAGAAACTATGATCGTAATGTTGTTATCAGTAAAAGAAATTCATTAGTAAGCTTCTGAATCTGGTGAATATGAATGTTTTTTTCAGATCTTTACTGCTGTTTTGGATCCGCTGAATCAAGCAGTACAGTTATCAGCGACACAACTTCATTCACCTATTGATGTTGCCGTTTATACTCTTAACTGTCTTTCCGCTGTGAATGCTGCTATAGTACTTTATCAATTTACGGATTCACGCCTTGAAATGATCAAGGCTCAGGTACTATGTTTTCATCGGTTTCCCAGATCTCTTGCAGTAAGAGGAAAAACGACTAACTGTTCAGGGAGAAAGGAAAGAGATCAGTTGAACTTTAATCTTCGAAGAATGTTGTGAAGCATATATTTCTTTAATGGGTTTATGCTCGTCGTCAGTCTAAACAGTTTGTTGTGGATTTTAATTTGATAATTTCTTTCGGAATACAAACGATATCTTGCACATTCTATCATATTATTACCAAGGACTGAATGAGCTGAAATAAATTATTGAATAATCCTTCCAAAATTTTTAAACATTTTTGAAGATTGATGCAAACGTTGATGTTCTTGTTAGCGAGCAAGCTACTTTCATTATGACACAAACAGGGCTAATCGAACTATACCGAAAAGCTGCAGCTCATCAACCAAGTCAGGTATCTTGCTTCATCATTTTACTTATTTTAAGTTGTTTTTTATAACATCATTGTGGTTTTCCCTTCTATTCAATCTAAAATGAAATTAATATAATTATTATTGCATCTGTCGTGACACACTAATCTAAGCCAATTTCCTTCGTTTATTGGCTCGCCATCACTTTTTTGAAATAGTATAATTTATCGTTTATTTGATCTTCAGCGGGCTCTAAAAGCTTTGAATTTTGGAATATGTGTAGCGATCGTTTTGAAATAGGTATTAATAAATGAATTGCTTTTCCTAAATGCTTTCAGGGAGCGCTTTCTGAAATCACTGGAATGGAGCCGTCTCACATATCGAGCACACTGTTTTCATTTGATTCGTTTCTGGCAAGTCCTGACAAACATAAGTTAGATCAGTGGGTGAAATTATCATCGGCTAGAATAAGGTATGTTGCATTCTTTGTAGTTTGGTCTAATGATTCATTCTAAAATCCTTTCATTTGTTTGAAATTTCAATTTGTTGGGAGGAATTTATTGGCCTGCTGTTCTATAAATACAGTCTGCTAGCCTAAGATGTGCTGATCAATTAAAATTCAGGGATACAGTACGAGAGCGGACGATTGAGACTGTGCTGGCAGCTTATAGAATAATTTATAATAAACTAGTTGATCCAAGTAACAAATACCCTCAATTGTCGATTAAAACCGTTGAAGAGGTATGAAATTTGCGGTTGTGTGCAATTTGATCATTATTTGGACTGATTTGAATTTCGCTTATAACGAAACTCAGCTATATGAGCTTTGAGGCAGCTTAAGCTTTTAAATCCAGAACCTGTCAATATGGAGTGCAATTCGATTCTTGAATTTACACTACATCAATTTAATCACATTTCTGTTTTAGGTCCAGGAATTACTGAAGGTGTGGACGTAGGATATGCAGAATTTTATTTCCATATTTAGTGAAGGAAGATCATATTCATTCAGTATTGGAAATACAATCGTAAATTTGCACTTCATTGGTGTTTTCGTTCGGTATCATCTGGAAAAAACATATGTGTATATCTTTTCCTGCTTATACTTGGGCCATTACTGCTGTGATATCTCTGTTATATTTTTTAAATTTCACAATACTCGATTGGTGGAATTCGAAGACTGTTTGAGTTCCCTTTATGCATATTTTGATAAAATTTGACTTCAAATTAATTTTGAAATTAAAAAAACTGACTATCAAGACACTTTTTATTTGCCATTTGTTCACTGCACGAAAATCCTTCAGAGGGATTTCCATAATCTACAATAATTGTTTATTCGATTTTTGGATGATGTGGTTGATAAGCTTGCTACAGTATGGCAATGTGATAAAATTATAATTTGTCTTTGTTTGTATCTGAACTTATCCTCACATATTAATTCGTGGGCTATATCATCAAATAAAAAAAGAAATGTTAATATCCAGATAAGATAAAATATTATTATGCTTACTTTTGTTGCAGCTTTACTTATCAAAATCGCTTCGTTGTATTGTTCATTTTTGTTTCTTTTTTTTTGCCAGTCAGGTAGAATACAGTTGGCATATGTTGTAAAAAAAAATTTGGAATATTAATGATTAAGGTTACTGATCATTCTGGGTCGTACGAGCTTGTGTCCTTCATTAGAATTACATCATATTTGCCAGGAAAAGTGGACTGAATATGAGACAAATGTTTCACTTGGATATATTCTACGCAACCTTACAATTCCTCGACGGTAATTTTTGTGTAGATGTGGGAGATATGTCAACGATCTTGAAAAAGATACTCGCAGCTAGAGGAGAATACCAACAAGGAATGATTGCGTGGAGACTGATAATGCTGATGTGGATTAGTAGTGCTGACGTGGACTGGTAATACTGACGTGGACTAGTTAGTGCTGACGTTGACTAATAACTCGACATGTCGATGTTCAGCATTGTTAGAATAGAGAACAGGTAAAGAATGAAGGCTAGTATGTTTATCTTAGGAGGATTTGTGGTTTTTTTTGGAACTTCTTATTCTTTGTTAGAGTCATTCCTCAACGAGTAGAATCACGTGGTTGTTCAGAGAACATGCTACTAGGTGACATGACCGAATGCTACAAATTTCAGTTGAAGAGAGCGCTTGGTGAAATCCACATAGTTTATTCGCTGATACTCTTTCATTCAATTCCAGTCAATCAACATGGAGTTTTGATCCTTGAAATATTCAAAGAATGTGTTTTTCGATCCCTTCTCAGATGTGGCGGCTATACGATGCTAACATTTTGAATATTTCAGTGACTGGAAATGTTTTTTCATCAAAATCGTAGAAGACAACATAATTATGGAATATATTTGCTGGCATACCAACTATTCAACTCACCAAACATTCCACCAATCACTCTAGCTGTTATAATATTTCAAATGGCGATTTTTCTAGGTTATCTTCCTCTCCTTGGCCAGCATAGAACAGGTATGTTAATGTTTTTTTTGAAAATTGACATTATCCATATTCCATAAATTTTTAGTATTTTTCATCTTTTCAGGTGCAAGTTTAAAAATGACTTTAATTTTTCTTTTTTAATTTTGTACTTAATTCGCATCTTTACCTTTTTTCTTCTGATATTAATCCAATATCAAAACTTATATTGAGTACATAAGTGTAACTGTATATGTAACAACAGATGTCAATAAATGATATTAGAATGCTTCAGTAATGAGCAAGCTTTGCAAAAAACTATCAAAGAGATTTAATTTTAAAAGATATGAAAAATAGTTGGTAATTAATATTTCAGGACGGTGGTGATATCGTTAGACATGATTTAGACATGATAACTGATTTCAGACATTTAAAAAAGCCTAATAATTTTATTGTTCCTCAAAGCAGTAATAATTTTTAGAAGCAATGTGTCTTCTGCCGTCACGTATATTATATCGATCTGAATGGTTGCGAATGCTTGCATCTACAGTTATGCATGTTGATGATATGCATCTGTATTTTAATATGATCTCATTACTGTGGAAGGTAATTTTTCACTCATTCTATTCTGTAATAGATTAATTTTAGTACTGAACAAGCTTGTAAACAAGTAATAGTTCAGAACAGAAGGCTTCATTACTTTTCTGCAACACTTCGATGAATTGCGTGGAAATTTTGGTGTACTGAAAGTAGTCGTATTTAAATTCATTTTCAATTGTTTTTAGTTCATACATTCAGGGAAGGTTTAAATTGCTAGCCCTTCTGTTTTATCTGTCTGGCGCTCTTGGTGATTAGATTTAGATGGGAAAACTTCGCGAAATAAATGATTTAGAGAATTATTTTTACTAATATATGCATAAAACTAGTTTACTTTGAGCACTTTTTTTCTTATTGCACACATTTATCTTTGAAGATTTCGTTGATGTATATTTATCGTAGCGTTTTATGTTCACTCAAAAGTTATCAGCATTTAGATCACTGTTTCCGTGATACCCTTACTAATTTATTGCAAATGACTTATTTGTTTTAGGGTCGACGTTTGGAACCTTGGTTGGGTTCACGTCGTTTCCTATTGCTTCTGGCAACATTTGCCTTAGCAACGAGCAGTACTATGGTTGGTTTAAGCTATTTAGCCGATGAAGTATTCACTTTTAATGGTGGAGGTTATATGAATCAGTGCGCTGTTGGTTTTTCGGGTTAGCTGATTGATTCTCTTTGCGACTTTAAAATTATTTTAGATCCATTTGTGTGGCACAAGCGATGTTTTTTCTTAACACCTCGGTTCACCAACCCATATGTTCATTTTTGTATTGCCCGAATTAAAGCTTTTTGTAGGTGTGCTTTTTGCCTTGAAAGTACTGCATACAACACATTTTCCTTATTCGGATCATAATTTATTTGGGTGGCTTCCTATACCATCCCAGTTTGCCTGTTGGGCAGAGCTGATTCTTTTACAGGTTGGTTAAATGTTGATTCGTCATAATTTTAAACATTCATTCTTCACCCTAAGGAACTGGCTATTTTTAGTTTAATTTTTTTAAAATCTTTTCCAGGAGGATAATTAACTATCCAATTGATTTTTTTAATATTTTAAAATATCATCAATATTTATTTATTACCGCGGCTAACTTCCTATATGTTACATTACATAAACCAGTTTTATTTGTAACGAGGAATTAAATTCTGGCAGTTGTTCGATTTATTTAAAAATGAAGATCTCGGAAAAACTTCCTACATCGAATATACGTTTTGTATCATTCACTGCAGTGAGAATATTAACAACTGATGCACTGCATTAAATAATTAGGCGCTTCCGCTGAAAAGGAAATGAGTTTTAGAAAAAATTATATAAGCTAATATTTTGGGAATTGATTTTAGAATCATTTTATGCATCAAATCATGCATGTTCCCATGTCCCTTGACCTCTGTTAAACTCAAGATTTATTTCCTTTTTCCAGATGTTAACTCCCAACGCATCATTTATCGGTCACCTTTCGGGCATCATTGTTGGTTTAGCCTATACGATGGGTCCATTGAAAACAGTTGTTGATATTCTAGAAAGCATCATTTCTCTTTTATTTGGTCAGCTTTTTTCTTTTTTTTTGTGCATATCTGATACCATTTGCTCTAAGAAATTTAAATTTGCTTTTATTAGCGTTCGTATTGCAAACACACCATAATGCAAGTATAGAATTTAGGTCTAGTCGCTATCGTTCGTGCGAGTGACAGATTTAAACTATGTTTTGTAATCAAATCACTCGCAATATTTTGAATAATTTCAGGTATTATATCGGGGTCACTTTTGCAGACGAGGGATGGAACGTGGTCAAACTACAGAAATTGGTTCAGTAATTGGCGCTTTCAAGATGGAAACGGCGCTGCCTATGAAACGCCTCCGTACGGATGGCGAAATGAACAAAGTTAATATGTGATCTTAATATGTATCATTTTAAGATTGTGGGGCTCACTATATCGATTAGTGTTTGATTCGTTACATGGGTCATTGTGAAAGTAGTAAATCAGAATAACAAATCCAACAATAATCTAATGCGACATATTGAGTTTCCACTTTACTTTTTGTGATAATTATTAGTAATTTCTCCTCTTTATTGTTACTGCATTTCTTGGAATAATCTTCCGGTCTCTACCGTTCTATTTTTGAAGGGACTAATCTGAATGAAATTATCTTTACTATCAGACTTCAAAAGTTTTCTGGGATTAAAGTTGGAGCTTTAATAATGTTAAATGAGCCTTTTTTTTTTTTTTTTTTATGTTTCTTGAATTAATGCTATCACTGTACTTAAAATTTCAGGACGTTTTAACGAATATACAGGTGGTATGTCGGAAGAGGAGCAGATATGGAGAGCTACACAGAGAAGTTTGTATGAAGATGGTTGGCATTCGTCCCTATTCTAAACCTTCTTTAGTATCGATCTTGATTATCATTTTTTAGAGCTTCACTCGAAGTTTTTATTATTCATGTCTAGAAGTGATGTATGAAATAAAGCAGAAATGATTATGACTTCCAGAAATGACTTTCAAATTTTTAAATGTAGAAGTAGTACGCGTGAACCTGGATTTATCTGATCAAGATCTTTTGAGAATCTGGGGCGGTAATAATTTCAAAAATAATTTTTCTTTTTTTTTTTGCTTTACTAATGAAATATAACTTCTACCCTTCAGCTTCATATAAAAAAATTGTTATGTATATATAAGATTAGCTCTATTGCTATTTCAAGTTATGTAATTATGTCCTTTTTTGAATCATTAATTTTCTTCAGTTCCAAAAGCTATGATCATAAAATTATTGTTTTGAAAGAGCTGGTCGAAATAGAGAAAAAATGGTTATAACCTTTTTCTTTGGTTGAATCAACTGTATAAATGTATAAAGGCATTATATCATGTACTACTGCTTATGCTTCATTTATCATTCTCCCAAGGACCAATCAGGAAATTAGAAATCGTCACGAAATGGTTTCTATTAAAATTTCATTTTGAATAGATAATTGTTGGTTTATGAATATTGCCGTGCGGTGGGGTCAAAAATATCTGGAATGTACTTTTACGTAGATGAATATAATGGCTATTACTACCGTTACGTTCCGTACGGTGGTGGATTACTCTTTATGATCATGATTTTTCTTATCTGTTGTTGCTGCTTATTGAGTGCAAGCGAAGTTCCTCCCTACGGATATTACTATGATTGTATGTGCTGTGGACCATGTATTCACTGTCGTCCTTTTTATCGTCATCAACATCATCTAAATCCTGTTGTCGTGGTATAAACTATCAGGTACAGAATCAGTTCCACTTCAGTTCGAAAACTGTTGGACCATTGATAGAAGTGAAAGAGGATAATCCGATATTTTTTTAAGGGAAGGATATATAAGATATTGGAGCCTAATACTGGATAGATATAATGTAATCAATTCATTGATAATCAAATCAAACATTAAACAACTTTCTATTCATTATTAAACAACTTTCCATTTCAGTCAAAAAAAAGTTTAGGAATAAAGAAATTTTGAAAATAAAGTTTTACAGGTGCAAGAGGAAGTTGTATTCGTTGAATCCAATTCACAGAAGGATAGAAAACTTTCTGAAATTGATTTCACAGTTCTCGGATGACTACAATGCACTTCCTGAAATTTTCTTATTCTGAAATCACAAACAAATTACTACAAATTATCTCACATTTTTCTTTCATATACAACAGATAATTTGACGATATTCATTCATTTTCGAATTATCCAGTTAAGAAAAGCAATATACAAAAAGCCAGATGAACTGGTCTCTGTCCAGTAGAGGATAGGTAAGGATTCCTTGAAAATGACCATCAATATCTGTGACCTATCTGTGACCTTTTCAATGCACCAGACACACGCACACACACACACACACACACACACACACACACACACACACACACACACACACACACACACACACACACAC